GCTTCAGCCCCCAGTGTTCTGCTTGTTGCTGCTGTATTCTTTAATAAAAAAGAAATGCGCTTTTGGGGAGTAAATCTCTGGCAGTGATGGCACAGGTTTGCAGGTACGTCGTCCCCCCTCGGCCTCCAGCCCCTGAGGGAGCGGCGTTACTGCCTGCGCGTGGCCATCCCGGGAGCACGAGGGCCGGCTCAGCCTGTTTGCAAAATTTTGGTGCTTTTAGAGCACCCGTTTCTCACAACCGCAGCATTTCCCTCCAACCCACGCCACGGTCATGTCAGACAAGAGCTGGGCTCAACTCCAGCTCCGTGCAGAGCCTGAAGAAGCACCTATTACTTTTGTAATTCATTTTTGGGAGGGGAAAATGGGCATATCTGGGGAACCTTTGTTCAAACAGCTCCAAATGTGGCCCCCAACATCACCCACTACTCCCCTGAGATATAGAAAAGGCCAGGACATGCTGATACGCCCCCAAAAATGAGGTTTAAAGACGAAACTGCTGCTCGAGCCTCCGCTGCTGCCACACCGAGCTCTGGCCTCGACTGGGAGCTTGGAGCACAATAATCGCTTGTGTTAAAGATGCAAACGTGGCTCCGGACTTGTGTCCCGAGGCAATGGACTTTTCCCAGAGCGGAGGGGAGGGCTTTTCTTCCTGCTTTGCAAACAGGGGAGCCGGCCCTAGAGCAGGAAGGAGTTTGCCCGAGGCCAGGGAGCTGGCGGTGGGCGCAGGGTGGGCGGTGGGCTGCGTCCCTGGGAGATGCTGGGCTGGGACGTGCGGCTGTGCCAGCCCCTCGGCAGAGCTTGGGCATAATGGGGCAGCCGTGCCATGGTTTCATGCCTGTGTAGGTACAAGCTTTTGGCCACTTTTCTGTTATTTCCAATATAGTCCTGCTGCAGGACACGACTCTGGTGCCTGGAGCCCCAGCGACCCCCTCCCTCACCAGCAGCATTGCTGGGCAGGGCGAGGAGATTGCAGCAGGTGACTGAAAAGGCTGGATGGAAAAGGAGAGGAAGGGAAAAGGCAGCTGCTTGAAACAGCTGCCATTAGGCCATGCTTTTAAAACTAAAAAAGCTTCCTCCAGTCAACCTGACGAGGCTTAAGAGACTGTGTCTAGCAGGGAGGCGAGCAGCCCTGGAATTACGGCGCAGTAATTGCTCGGTACTTAAAGTCCAGGTCTAGAAGATCTCCAAGTAATAATTCATTGGAAAGATATTGAGCTCTCATCAAAAAGAGGAAATATGGTCTCTAAACAGGCAGCTAATGGCATGCCATTTATCTGATGGCAAATCACCCACGTTCATTACTTTCTGCAGCACTTTTGGGCAGCACAGCCAGAAAGAGAAATACGAAATCAGCTAAAGGAGAGAGGGAAGGGGGGAAGGACACGGTTCCTTCCAGGGTTTCTCCAAGGGTGGCTCCTGAAATCCGTGCAGCAGCTATTTGCACCCAGGGCTGCTGCCAGCACGACCTGGCCAGGAAAAACCACTTTATGTGCATCTTCCTCCCTGGAGACAACAAAAATGTTTTCCATTATTATTTTCACACCATTCAGAGTTCTTGTTGAGAAAATCCTTAACATTCATCAAGGAAAACCTAGGACTGGTGGAAGTTTTATTGTTCTTGCTCATCTTTTCCAAAGCCGTGGCTCCAGGGGTGAACAAAGACCAGATACTCTTTTATTCCTTTCCAGCTGCCGAGCGTCGCCGTACCAAGGTTTTGAACGCCTTACAGCTTCCTCTGCTTTATAGCTTCCTTCCTCCCCGCTTCTTTTGCTCTCTTCCAGGTTTTTCTGGTAGAGGAAATGGCTTTTTGGCTGCCCCAGGCTTTTTCTAAGGGATGGGTAGTGTTTTCCAAACAAAGAGTGAGCTGGTGCCCGGCCGGGGAGGGACCGGTCTGCAGGAGACGCTGGGTGAGCCCTGGGAAGGCACACCCCGCTGGGCACCCCGGGGAAACCACCACAGCCTTTCTATCCGACATCCGCGATACAAACATAAATCTCATTTCCCACCTGCGTTTCATAGGAACTGTGGTTTTCCTTCACAGTCCCGAGTGGTGGCGAGGTGATTGAGGCAGATGGGGAGGAGGGGAACCTGCAGGACTATTAAAAGCCACCAGTGATGGAGACACCGGGACTGACAGACCGTGGACACGTCTCCTGCCTCAAGGTGATGCTTTGAGTTGAAATGTAGCTAAACTCACTGGCTGATTCTGAAAAATCCTCATTTGTGCCACCAGCTGCTGCTGAAATGCCTGAAGGGCTGACCCCTGCTCAGCACCTCTAAATGATCCATCCCCCGCCACAGCAGCCCCGAGGATTGCTGAGCGTTTGCAGGTTGCACACGCCAAAAGGAAAAAGCCGCTAATTATAGTTTGCATTTCTCTGCAAAGTAGAGTAAGTGCCTTCATAGAAAGAGGCTCCTTCATCAATTAATTATCCTTCGTCTTAGAGTTACAGAGGAAGATTGGGAAAAAGCAGTAGCGCTTCTTAACACTTAGTTTGCCTTTTCCAGGCAACAAGAGGGACATGGTGGGTTGGGGTCCGTGTGAGCGAGGCTGCTGTTGATTTTGCCTCCTGTTTTCTGAAGGCGAATGGGAAGTTACAAAACCTTGAAATAACCTTGATTTTCCTGGGGGGGACACTTTGCTTCAGAGAGTACCGTTTTCTTTCAGCACGACTAAGAGAATGATCTAGAAACGATGTGAAATCTTATTTCCTGTTAGTCATGGACAAACCACACCCAAGTCATCATTCTGTGCTTGCCACAGGTTGGAAATTTGTCATTTTAATGTGACTGGAGATCCTGCCGCATCCTGAGCCATCACCAGCCGGTGCCGGGATCAAATCCCCGGCAGGACTTTCCCCCGGCAGCGGCTCAGGCCCGGGCCTCTCTGTAACCCTCTAATTCATCTGACCGTGTGCCTGGAAAAAACCCAAATAGCTCAAGGCAGGGAGGGGAGACACTTTTTTCTTCCTTTGCTTGGCCACCATCTATTTTTGGAAGGTGGCTCAGCAGCATTGCTGGTATTTTCTGCTTTTCATCACCTTTCCTCAGATTCCCAAACAACTGCCACCTCCTTCCGCTGGGACGGATGCATTTTGGTGATGGACAGAGGACCTTGGAGTCCAGAGATGGGAATTAATAAATTGGGTGAAATCTGGGGGCAGTTTCAACAGTCTTGTTCTTGGAGACCTTCCTATCGGGGCCGGTTGGTGGCAGAAGTCCTGCCTGACCCGGGTGACCACCAAACCTGGCCATGAAGATCCACATGGCACCAGCCAAGTTGCCCCAAAGGCTTCACCCACCCACAGCAGCGACCTCCAAGCTTCATCCCAATCTCAAAATTTCCTGCAACAATTTTTAACCATCTAGGGCTGGCCATGGCTGGAGCTTAAGAGACATCAGCAACGGGTGATGCCCCAGCCTCGCGCACGGGCAGCAGGGCAGCCCAGACGCCTGGGGACCGCCGGGGAAGGCCGAGGGGTGCTGGTGGCCGCATCCCCTCTGCCCAGGCGTCGAGACAGGCTGGATTCACAACGGGAGCGATAATTTGCAGAGTGTACGCCAAGCCAGGAACACCAAGGATAAATCACTCATAACTGGGAAGACAATAATAACAGAAGCCTCCGGGGAAATCTGTACTGCTGAATAGTGGATTTTTTTTTTTTCTTTTTCACTTGAAGTCACTTAATGAGCCCTCATGTTGAAATCTTCAGAAAGACTCGCCTTGGAGGGTATTGGGAAATATTGATAAATAGTGCTTGGCACTTCTGAGGCTCTCAGCGAGTGGCACAAACATTGTCACAGCAGTTGGACTGGATGCCTCGTGTTTTACCCTCCCCGTGGCTCTTCCTACCTGCAAGGTGCAGGCATGGTCCGGCGAAAGGGCAGCATCCCCTGGCCCAGCCCTCCACTCCGCACCCCCCTGCACCCCTCACCAGAGCCTGATCCCCGGGGAAGGGGCTGTTATCTCAGCAGAAAGACTCATTTAATCCAAAACTTTCCCAAGAAGCAATATATTAGCTCTAAAGCAGCTTCCACACTTTATTTGCTGGTAATTTACAGCCCACACTGCGAGACAGTGTAATATTTGCAAGCGATTAAACAGAGGATGACTCAACAACAGCCACCTCGGGTCAGATTTTCAACTGTTCATCATGCATAATTAAGGGAT